TGTGTTGTAGATTTTTTTCCCTTTCTATCACCGATTGGCACACTGTTTGAACCTGATGCATGTTCTGATATCTGTGAAAGGTTTATGCGACTTAAATCCGAGAAGGGCTTTCTAATACTACTTCTAGTATGCAGGTTGTTTCTTTTTCTCTCTGTGAGAACTCTATTGGTATTTATGCTTTTTTTGGGTCTCTGATTTCTATTTTCTTGATACTTTCGTGTGTGGTATTCACTATCCTTTATGCTTTTCTTTATCTCTTCTTTTTTTTCCTGATTTTTTTTAATCTTATAGAAACTAACTTCTTCAAATCTAGAATTTTCATCCCATTTCAATTTAGTATTATAGTAATATGGAGTTGTTAATTTTGCTTTTTACAAATCTGACAATGACGCAAAGTATACAAAAGCTGCTTCTCTCTGATTGCCATGTCTATTGACTGGTATGTATACCATTTTTGCTTTCAGTTTATTAAGTTGACGAAGTAGTGTTGCATCACATGCATTATGTGGTACTCCTCTTAATATGAGTTTGAATTCGTTTCTGAGCCCCAATTCTTTTATATTAAATCTGTCACTTGTTACTCTAGCTGTTTTTCCTGCTTCATAGTGGATTGCCCATGCATTTTGAAGGCTACGCCTTTTTTCTTCATTTGTACATCTAACTCTAACGTAAGCAGCTTTTTTATGTTCTGTCGTAGTGCGCTATTCAATATTTACTAGAACTCCATACCATTTCAAGCATCTTCTTATATTTCCTAGTCTTGCTGATATAAGTAAATCCCATATAGTTAAGGACAACTCTTTGTCATTCCTTTCTTTTTTGGATTCTACCACTTCTCCTCTTAATAAATTCTCCTGTTTTGCAATATTATTGGGTGCCTATATAGATTTGTAAATACCTTCACTTCCATTTAATGTGAGATTATTTTCTACTTCGTTCTCTCTTTCATTTAGTTTTTCTTTTTTCCTAACTAAACTTATCCATTCTTTGACTTCTTGTGTTGTATGATCTTCTTGCCCAAATTCAGTATATAATAATGTCGCCTTAGTTTCTGTACTTTCAGTCTTATCATTATTCAGGATTTCAATTTCACTTTCATTCAGGTTCATTTCTGCTAATCTCGTTAAAACTGCTTCTTCTTTTTTTCTAGAAATTGGGTTTTTCTCGTTATCTGTAACTTCACGTTTCCTTTTAAGGTTTTCTTCTCGAGTGCATTTTTCCTTTTCTTGCATATCAAGCTTCATTTTGGTTGAGGTACAAATCATTTCTAATTTTTTTTGCTCACTCAGCTTGAGTCGTTCTTTCTTCATGCTTGTCGTCACTTCAACAACTTTGCCAATTAGCACCTGTTCTTCGAGTGATAGTTTCTTATCTTGGTCAAATTTACTTAAAACCCAATTATATGTTTCTAATGCACTACAGATTGTTGTTATAAATTCTGGGTTTTGATATCCAAGATACTTTGCTATGTGTCGATCTATATTTAAAGTGAATATACTATGCTCTGCATATACTTCTTGATGCTTATTTTCTGTCACCAGTGCAAAATCTTTTATTAGCATTAAATTTATATGTTCGCTAATTTATATATTATACTTGTATTAGAAGTATGTTGCTAATAATATGATTTATATTGTGTAAATATATAAGAGTAATTATAAATATTTTATAAATTGCATTACAGTGTATATAGTTTATACTTATACAGTACTGGTAATTTATTAAATGATTACAGTAAATGACTAGTTAATTATACACATATTCTCTAGAAAAACAATCTATTCATAATTCATAATTTTAAATAGAAATAGTCATAGCCTAATTTTTTCCCAAATTTGATTAAATTTTTTGAATTTAGCCAATATATTAAAAATCCACAAACCTGAATTAAAGAAATAAATAGGATCATTCTAATGTTATTCCAAAGTTTTTCTTATGTTTCTCGAGTCTTTTTTGGGTATGAGCAATCAAAAAAGTTAAATAGTACAAACCCAAAATTCTCACACTCTAATCACTGTTTCAGATATGGCTATTCAATAATATTTCTCGAATCTTTTTGGAAATGGCTAATTGGAAAAATTTCTATGCTAACTTTTTCTGGTAGCTAATTCAATAAGAAATATGGCTGTGCACTGCTTCTAACATATTATTACATAGCGATCATCCAAACACACTAACTTTAAATAGATTGAATCAATAAACGACTTCTCTATATACCAAGTACATATGTATTGTCAATAAGTTTTTTGTTAATTTAATAAGTCAATTATTATACTTTTTTATTTTTAATCTCAAACTAACAAAATTATAGTAAACTTACCGTATGTGAAAAGTGAACTGGTTCACACATTAAATTTAAAAATACTATGCAACTATTAAGACATTTACTTTCATTATTTTTAACTTTGGTTAAAATATTTATGTATATAAATTTAAAATACCAGAGTTAAACTTTTTTAGTAGCATTCTTGTTCATAACTCTAGGCAGACATTCGTATAATTGGCTATTTAAATCAATTTAATTTTAGATTATTTATATAGTTTAAAGTACCTTTTTAAAAAAAAAAGACTATGAAGAATATACAAAAAAGAAGGATATAAAAAGTTTTATTAGGGTTGTAGAACTCCACTATCAAAAATAATCAAAATTCTTTTTTTGTTTTAGAGAAGTTAGCATAATAGCGACTTTTTAAAAATAGGTTATCACTATGCCAATTTCTCTAAAGCAAAAAAGAAATTAATTATTTTTAATATGGAGTCCTACAATCCTAATAAAACTTTCTATATCCCTCTTTTTTGTATATTCTTCGTAGTTTTCTTTTTTTTTAAAAGGTACTTTTAACTGTATAAATAATCTAAAATTAAATTGATTTAAACAGCCAATTATACGAATGTCCATCTATGAACTCTAACATGTTATACATGTCGTAGAGATTAATAAAGTTCTGGACTAATTGAAAATATAGCAGGCATGAAAATAAATCGACTACTAAATGAAAAATCATTTAGGGAATGGGCTAGAAAAACTCTTTTGGTATTAGTTATCAAAGGAGTTTTTCTAATCCATTTCCTATTTATCATTTAATATAATCGGGTATTGGATAATTAAATGCAAAGATTTCTAATTTTATGATATTTATTGATTCTGTTCAAATTTCTTGATTCTAAAATATTATGTTAATTAGAATCATTAAAAGATAAATTAAGAGCCTTTTGTTAATTGATATGATGTAACTTGACAATTGCGTAAAGGCATAATTTAATATACTAACTAGTGTTTATAAAAAGAGCATCTCTATGCTTATTTGAACTTTCTTATCTTCTCTGCTCATAAAATATTGTTGTATAATGATGTCTAACCAATCTGTTAAAAAAGCACGTACAGCAGTTAGTGATAGCCTAAAATATGATATTTGTAAATACCATATAAAAAATCCTAATAAAACACAAATTCAAATTGCTAAACACTTTAATGCCCAAAATCCCAAACTGAATCTTGAGCGTTCAACTATCTCTAAAATCCTCAAAGAACAAGATAAATGGTTGGCTATTGTTAAGAATCAAATAACTTCAGAAACTTTTCATTATAAAAAAGTAAAATTTCTATTGTTAGACCAAGCTATGAGGCTATAGATTAAGCAGGTTGTTAGTAAGGGGTTGTTTTTGACTGAAGCAATCATTAAAGAAAAGGCTGCTTATTTTGTTAAAGCTCTTTCATTACCTGATAATGAGCTGAAATTTTCAAATGGTTGGATTAGGCAATTTAAAAAACGAAATGGTTTGCAAAATTTTCAATTGCATGGAGAAGCCAGCAGTGTTTTAACCAATGAACTTCTAGAATTCTGACAAAACTTGCAAAATGTTATTTAAAGATATGCATTAAAAGATGTATTTAATGCCAACGAGACAGGATTATTTTTTCACATGACACCAAATCAAATGTTGGTATCTCGATCTCATCCAGGATTGAAAAAAGAAAGTAGTTTGTTATTTTATTGTTTATTTAAATCTGATAATTTATAAAAAAAATAAATATGTAAATATGAAGATAAATAAATAAAATTTAAAGACAAAAATACAATAGCAACCTGTCACTATGCGACCCTTTTATAATCGACCAATCATTTTAGAGATTGGCGATTATATATAACTAAGTTTTTTTGAGTATCACGATAATCTTTTTTTTTTTCTATTTGTTTTTTTTTTATGCTTTACTAATTTTTTTTTTTTATATTTCAGATTTGGATTCAGTTTTTTCGCTAGTGTCGTCATTGAAATATCGTTGGTGTCGTCGTATTGGTGTCATCATTGGTGTTGTCATGTCGTTGTTGGTATTGTGTTGTCAGTAGTTAAAGCATCTTGGTAGATTCTTGATGAATGAGTATCTTTGCTTGTCATTGGTGTTGTAGGCTCTTGGTAGTTTGTTTTTCACGAGTTTTGTTGCTGGTCTTATTGTTGTTGTAGTTGCTTGGGTTGGTATTTTTTTTTAATTTTTATTAATATACTTTTTTTTCATTGAGTTTGTCACTGGTATTATGTTGTCGTTGGTGTCATGTTGTCATTGTTTATGTTGTGTTGCCATTGTTGGTGTCGTGTTGTCGTCATTGGTGCATAGTTTTTTGGGATTCTTGGTAAGTAGTTTTTTTTTTTGTGTTTTTTTTGTTTTTTTGTTTTTTTTTTGTTGAGTTTGTCACTGGTATTATGTTGTCGTTGGTGTCGTATTGCCGTCGTTTGTATCGTGTTGCCGTCGTTGGTGTCATGTTGTCATCATTGGTGCAAAGTTTCTTGGTAAGTAGTTTGTTTTTTTTTTGTTTTTTCTGGTTTGTTACTGGTATTATATCGTCGTTTGTATTGTGTTGCTGTCGTTTGTGTCGTGTTGCTGTCGTTTATGTCATGTTGCCATCGTTGGTGTCGTGTTGTTCATCATTGGTGCATAGTTTTTTGGGATTCTTGGTATGTAGTTTGTTTTTTTTTGTTTTTTTTTTTAAATTTTTATTAATATGCTTTGGGTTTTAAATTCTTTTGTTGGTTCAGAAGGATTCGTTTATGGTTTAGGTGGTTTTTTGTGTCGTTTTGGGTTCGTAAGTTTTTTTTTCTTAATAATTTTTTTTTTATTATATATATTCTCTTTTTTGGTGTTTAAGTTGTGGCGTTGCTCTTTAAATTATTGTTGGAGTCATCGTTGAAGTCGTCATTGGAGTCATCGCTAGATTGGTGTTTCTTTTTAGATAAGTGGGTCTTGTGCACTTTATATCTGCCTTTCGTTGTTGATTCTGATTTATTTGTTGCATCACTTGTCTTGGATACGATTTTGTAGTTGTCTTTGGTGTGCGAATTAGACTTGTACTTTTTTTTTTTTTTTTCTTAACATAATAAATATAAGTTGGGCGTGTGGATTGTTATATAAATTAGAGCATTGTTTTTTTTTTTTTTCTTAATATGTATTTATTATAATATAATTAATAAATAAGTTTTTTTTTTTTGATGATCGAAATTGCAATCATGTGACTGAATCTAATTGGCTAATCACGAGGGTCACCACAGGACAGGTCGCTAAAAAATAAAGCCCAAATTTAAATTAAAAGTTTAGACTATTAATATTTAATAATCTAATTAAATTATTTTAAAATTTAACAACTTTAGAATTGTACTTGTATCTCTATTCTTTTAGCATGCAATGCAACTGGTACTAAAAAATAATGCCTCTTGTAATAGGATCTTCAATTGAACCACATGTATTGTCTGGTATAAATCATGCTACACTACTAGTAACATACCGTGCTAATTTAAAGGCATAGATAAGAAGTGAAATATTTGGTGAATAGTTAAAAGAACTTAACCAAAAATTTCGTATTGAAAATCAAAAGGCTTTACTTTTACTTGATAATGCATTAAGTCATTTTGACCCAAATTCTAATGAGGAGCCTAGCCGTAGTGATTCTGAAGAAATATATTCTACTGTATCAAATAACAACAGAAGCAGTCGCAGTCGCAGTCATGGTCACAGTCGTGGTCACAGTAGTGGTCACAGTCGTGATCACCATCGTAGTTATCTAAAAGCAGATAATATTACCCAAAATGACCAACAAAGTCGTACTGTTCGACATAGAAAAGGCAAATGTGGTAGAAGTCGATCTAGTGTTTATACACTTCCTGACTTATCTAACTATAAGCCAACAAATATTCAAGTTAAATTTTTGCCAGCTAATACTACCTCGTATCTTCAACCTATGGATGCGGGGATTATTAAATACTTCAAGGCAAAATATCAAAAAAGATACATTCAACATATTCTGGATCATTTCGAAAATAGACTAGATATTCGAGATCCTGAGTAAATTTATTGTTTAATTAAAATTAAATATTAGGGTTTCAGTACTAAGATTTAGACTTCTGATTTTGAATTAAATTTGTAATGTATTTATTTTAAAATTAGTGATCTATAATTATAAAATATTAGTTAAGTGATGATAAATATCATAAATTTTTTTTGTCAGAGCAAGTGGTTGGTTAAAATATGATGCTATACAGCATATTTCAGCTAAATATTTATTCTGACAAAACATTTTTATGTTATTTATTATCGCTTAACTAATATTAATATTATCATGCAATTATGTCGATTTACAAGTTATTATTAGCTAACTGAGTATACTTTTACAATTGTAAATATTTTTAAATTCTATTATTAATCATCAAAAAATAGATTTTTATTTACCTTTAGATAACTTTAAATCAAAAATACGACATTTCAATTTCTCACTTACTTTCAAAATAAATTAATTCTGAAACCCTCTACTATATTAGAGTGTCTAGACTTAAGTATTTTGGAAATTTATTATTGTTCAAGTAACAAAAATTACCAAAATTATACAAGTCTGGACACTCTATATGGGATTCCACCAACTCATCGACACTCACTTCATAGACATCATATTTTTACTAACAATTACTTATCGACAAGTTTATTTAATCGACAGTTTATTTGACCAAAGCTTATTTTACAACCAAAGTAATTCTGGTTAATATTATTGGTGTTGGGTAATAACTAGAGTTAAAGTTAGTGTAATTTGTAAAAAAAAACTTGTTGGTGAAATGAACTTTGGTGAAATAGACTGTCGGTAAAATGAACTTGTCAATGAATAATTGTCTGTAAATGTGGTGTTTATGAAGTAATGCGGACCTCTCTATTTTACATAATCTTTAAAGATTAATTTTTTTTTATTAGAAATAAATTGACCATTAAAGATGCTATTGATTATGTGGCGGCTTTGTGGAATAAAGTTGATAAGTTAACAATGGCAAATTGTTGGACAAAGACTGGTATTTTGCCGATGGTACTGGATGATAATGTTGAACTTTCGCATAATACATATTTAGAAACAATTGAGTCTGAAGAAAATGAAATACATGAATTAGTGATCAAACAGTTTCACAAGAAATAGATGCTTATATCAAGGTTAATAATTCCTATATTTCTACAGAAGAAGTACTTGATGACAATCAAATTATTAAAACTATATTAGCGGAGCAATTAGAATATAAGCAAGGTGATCCAGATGACTCCAATGAAGAGCCATCAAAAATTTCTTCTACTGAAGGATTAAATGAGTTTTAAACTTTCATTTTATTCGCTAAACAAATGGACAATAATTTTTTCTCCAATAATAATAACCTAGCAGTATTTCGAAAGTATATACCATTAGTGAAAAGAAAAATTACAGAGTCTATAAAGCAGAAATCTATTAAAGATTTTTTTAAAAGTAATCAAACTATGTCTTTTAATGATGAATATTCTCTTTCTGATGACAACAATAACTCTTCTGACAATAACTTCCCTGATGATGACTTCTCTGATAATGACTTCTCCGATAATAACTTCCCTGATAATGACTTCCCTGATAATGACTTCCCTAATGATGACTTCTCTAATTATGACTTCTCTGACAATGACTTCTCTAACAATGACTTTCCTGATGATGACTTTCCTGATAATAACTTTTTTAATAACTTTTCTAGCAATGATGATAACTTTCCTAATGATGATTTGTGATAATGATTTTTTTATTCTGTATATTGTAAGGGTCGAATTTGGCGCAGTATAACCTGAACTTGGGCTGTGCAAATATTTTTTTTTCTTCTTTTTATCCTATTACATAGTATTTTTTTTTATTTTTGTATATTTTATTATGTATCTTTTCTATTTTTAATTATCCCAGTTTGGATTTCCAATTATGGTTAAAATCGACTCCATGGAGTCCATAGACTCCATGGAATCGATGAAATCTATTTTGTCAAATTTTAGTCTGAAAAATGCATTATATAAAGAGCCTTTGGCTCATTTAAAATAAAGATAGCCTATTAAAGTTTTAAACTTCGAAATCATCATAGTATAAGTTGTTCCTTTACCAATTGTCACCTTTGACCCCAAAATCACTCCAATAAACCCAAGTTCTGTCCAAATAGTAGTAATTTAGAAGTAGTGTCATTCAATAAAACAAGTAGTGAAAGTAAAAAGACCTTATTTGAAATACCTGACCTTATTTAAATACTAATCATTCTCATGACGCATTGTTATTATAACAATCAAACTATTACATATTAATTGCTTTGATCAGCCAAATTACCCGTGACATCAGAATCTCGTGATGTCGATCATATCTCGAAAACTCTATTTTTTCTTATAATGTAAATCTGGTGATCTCAGATCCAAATCGAATATTAAACTTCCGATCGATATAGGTAATCATGACTACATAACACATGACACTGAAAGATCAAAATAGAAGAATTGGAGTTAGTATTAATAATATCGGTTACAATAGAGACATATTATAAGCCCAAATAATTAGAAAACTTATCTAAACCTGGCAACATCACCATAAGGCCCCAAAAAGCTCTAGAACTCAGACCAAGTCTTTCTACACCTCTCTTCGAAGCCTACTACTTAAGAGCTTTGGATTGTTTAGACTTGTGTAATAGCTAGATAGTTAGTTTTGTGTATATTTTGGTAGTTAGCATCTTCTCAACATTCTCCTGATAACTATAACAGTTCTACCGATATTCATGAAAATAAAAGAAACTAGCCTCAGATTCTTGGTCAGATCTATAATATCTCTAACACAGTATATATCAGCAATCTAGAAAGATAGTAAAAGCTTTGTCAAAGCTAATGATATCTGACAAATAAATAGTTTTGACTAGACAAAAGCAACTTCAATTTGACAAATAAAGAATGATGAAACATAAATTTTATATACAAATGTAAAAAAAGTTTTAAAAAAGCAATTTATTCTTTAGATAGCATTGAAAACTAGTTAATGAAAATTAATTAACCATGCGATCTTAATTTTTTTTTGTTTATATCTATTTTTTTTTTTGACATCTTTATCTGAAATTATCTGATGATTTACATTACTCACCCAGAGATTTTTAATCAAAAAATATTGACGAAACTTTATAAGAAATAACTGAAATTTTTATAAAAATTTAAGATTCAAAATATCCAGATATGTTATAGAGGGGTCTGTATTGTTTCACCAACAATCACTTCATAGACACTACATTTTACAGACAATTATTCATCAACAAGTTCATTTTACTGATAGTCTATTTCACCAAAGTTTATTTCACCAACAAGTTTTTTTTTTACAAATTACACTAACTTTAATTTTAGTTTTAACTTAACTCTAATAATATTGACCAGATTACTTTGTCTATAAAATAAGCTTCAGTCAAATAAACTGTCGATAAAATAAACTTGTTGGTAAGTAATTGTCAGTAAAATGTGGTGTCTATGAAGTGATTAAATTAATTCCATCAAGAAATTCATCAATTGTCTATTAAGATTTTATCAGATGAAACCATATATGAAACCATTTCATCTATGCAAAAATACTTTTGTCAGGCATCATTAGTTGAAGCTAGAGATAGGAAAATGAGCATTTTATAATAACATGCGCATGAATGCATATTAATGCGCACATTATATAAAATGCGCATAATATCACATAATATAATTTTTTGTTTTATATTTCCTCTCTGAAAAATATTGGATATTTGCCAAAATTTTTTCCTGATACTTTTCATCTTTATGTTTATTCATTTTCTTTTCAGAATTTTTCAAAACATCTGCATTCCTATTTCTCTGGCATTATACACCTTGGCTTAAATTAAATATACTTTAATTTTCTTATACAAAATTCGATAGGATAAAATGTGCATGATTCTGAATCATGTGCATATATGAAACTCATCTCTAGTCAAAGCTATAAAACCTGTGAAATACATATTAAAAATAACAAGAAACGCATTGGAAAATGCAGTAAGTATGCGAAATATAATAAATTTTATGTATCAAAATATTAGGATAGAATTTAGCGTAGGTAGTTCTATAGAAGTTAGTGTAAATTTTAATGTGGTAAATGTATTCTTGTAAATTAAAAATTACTAAAAAACTATTATAATAGTTAATATATTTGTTTTAATGTGATTATATAGAATTAAATTATTATATATATATTTTTTATTTATACTATATTTGTGTGATAGTGATTATAAGCAAATTGTAATTATATATAGGTATTTTATAAATAAAAAAAATTGGATTAAAAATTTATGTGATTATATAAAGGTTGTGATTGTATAGAAGGTGATTATAGAGGAGAAAGACAGTATATAATAGAAGAAAATCGACATTATCTATAGTAAAAATTTGATCTGATTTGGATTATTTGTTATCAAAATATTCCTTATAAAATTTGAGTAAAAATAGTAAAAATTTTATTATTGATTATTAAAAAAAATTTATTATTTTTACTCAAACTTTGATGATAGATACCTTAATAACTAGTAATCTAAATCAGCTCAAATTCTTACCATAAATAGTATCAATATTCTCATATTAAATATAAAAATTTTAGCTGATATGGTCCAGTATTTCTTAAGTAATCACTCGTATACAATAGTCAGTTTTTTTAAAAAAAATTGACCATTGTATACAAGCAATTGCTCGAGAAATGCTAAACCAAATCAGCTAAAATTTATATATATAATATATAAATATAGTCACTATCTATATTAAAAATTTAAGCCGAGTTTGATTACTAGTTATCAAGATATTCATCATCAAAGTTTGAGTAAAAATAATAAATTTTTTTTAATAATCGTAACGGTAATATTGTGATAAATATATAGGTTAATTGCCATTAAAAATTTTAAATTAAAATTTTTGTAATTATATGTTTGATTTTTATTGGTTAATTGCTAGATCCCAGATTATAAATTTTAAAATTAAAATTTTTTATTTTAAAAAATTATTTTATTTTAAAAATAAAATTCCAGGTGGGC